GTATTTTCATAATATATGACTTAACAAATTTAGCTACCGTTATTTTTATATTGTCAGTTTTGTGTTTCTACTGTGACTTTAAAAATATTCATTAAACACATAATTTTCTTAAAATAATTCTATAAAAATAAATAAATAAATATTTTTATAGAATTATTAATAAATATTTTTTAATAAAAGATACATATGTTTGTTTATTATTTTTATTAAATTATTTTATTTAAAATTGTATTTTAAATATAAAAATGTATTTTAAAAAATATTTTTTATCAATTCTGTCTAATCAAATTATTTCACTTTAAAAATAAATTATATTAAATTAAGATAAGTCAAATTTTAAAATTTCAAACATTCATTAATTTTTCCTAAGTTCATAAATTGCTTTCTGCATTCATGAATTTGATAACATTAAATATCACATATCTATGATTTTCATGATGATAATATTATATTTATATTTTTTAACATATTAAATTTTATTTAAATAAATGATTTTAAATATTTTGATAATTTGATAACAAATAACTTAATAAATTTAACTAATATTAATTTTTGTGATTAATTTTATATCTCTATTGTAATTTTAAAAATATTTGTTGAACATGTGATGTTCTTAAGATAATTTTATAAAAAAATAAAATAAAATATAATAGTATAAAAAGATTAAAATATCACAAATATTTTAAAATTAATTAGCCCATGGGTCAGTCCTAGTCCACTTAATCCCATGGACTTTTTCATATTGTGGGCTTTTTGGTCCAATGGACCTTTTGGCCCTAACTCACATGAGTTAGGACTAAATTAATTAGGGCTGACTCATTTGACACCTCTACAACAAAGTTACAATGGTAGAGTTGCTGCTACTCTTTAAATATATAATTAAGTCTACTACTAACTAACAATTTTGACAACCTAATGGGTCTCTAAAGGTTTGTCATCCTTGTTCTCTTAAAATATTAGTAAAGATGAATTTTTCTCTTCACCACTAAATCAAGATAATAATCAACTTAATAATTTTAACACAACATATTTAAGATAACATACAAACTAATTCAATCAATAAGCATATCAACTATATCACTCGTGTATATATAATATTTTTCATATTTTGTGATCACATTCTTTCAACATTCTTATCATTCTTTAACTCCTTATCTCAATCAATCATTGTCTCTGCGATCCCTTGATGTCTTTTTCATGTATAGATAGTTATTGGTTAACCACAACAACACATATACAACGTGTGCGACCCAACCCTTTTTAGTGAAAGTACGGTCAGAAGTATGAGTTAGGAAATGAGTGTGAGACCAATAATGCTTCTGTTCTCATTAAGAAATGTGCATCTATTACAAATAGCATTCACCACCCTCATTTTCCTCAAATTCCCAATCGGCTCTATTCTTTCATACTCTCAGTGTATCTCTATAATTATCTACACGTATTTTAATCAATTTTCATGATAGTACAACTTTCACCATAATAATATAGATAACCATTCTGAGGCTTTTATTCTTTTGTTATTTGTCACAAGTAATTTTACTTTTTCCACAGAGATTCACATATAATTTGAGAGAGAATAATAGCAGAATATAAGCTCAAACATATCCTAACTTCCAAACAACAATTCATGATTATAATAACATGTCATTCATATATATAATCAATTCACCAACAAATTTGCCAGAGATCAGACACCTCTGGACTTAGACCAAATCATATATATATAGGGTAAGATCTTCTTACACTGGTGTAAGTCTAAAAACTCTTACACCCAATCTGAGCCTTTCATTTAACTTAAATCTAACGGTTATAATTTATTACTTTACTGGCTGTTAGATTTAAGTTAAATAAAGGGCTCAGATTATGTGTAAGAGTTTTTAGACTTACACTGGTGTAAGAAAATCATTTCCCTATATATATATATTCGCAATACAACATGTACTTCATATCAATAAAAAAAGATCAAGTATACACCAGCTCACTCACTATTTAAGGAAATAACCATAGTCCCAACCACTCAAAGTAATCATTTCTCATCTCATATTTCTAAAATAAAAGAGAGTTCATAGCTATACACATGAACAATAGGTATTTAAGATTTCAAGGATGTGATAAAATTCTAGGTCCTTACCCCAATTAGATGATTTTGTAAAGGATTTTGCAGAAGAGATTGTCTAAAGATCAAGTTCTTTCTATATATCACAAGTTGGAGCACTTTTGAGAAAGAAGAAAATGGAGAGATATAGAAATGAGATTGAATGATTGAGTTTTAAGGAATTTACTTAGGATCAAGAAGAAAGGAAGTCTGGGCTTAAATTTAGAGTTAGTTTGAGGTTTGAGAGAGGTTTCTTTGAGAAAGGAAATAAGAGAACAGAAAAAGAATTGTGTGAGAGGTTTCTTGGCTTACAATACAGGTTTTAAAATGAAAATCCCTTAAATATCCTTTAAAACTCAGAATTCTCGCTTGAGCGAGAAAATCAAACAAAAATTGGTACTCTTTTGTTGATATTTTTTATCGAGCAAGGATGTTTTAGCTTGAACTAAAACACAGCAGAGAACTACTCATTAAGTCCAATTTGACATATATCTTGGCAAATCTACCCCTAGATAAAAGGTAGTATAAGGATCTATTTTAAGTATGGATCCTAGGCAAGCACCCACTTGCCATATGAACTTTTAATTATACAATTCAAGGAAAAGATCAAGGATTCTAACCCAGCGGCTATTTTCTTTAGATCCTGATCCTTTGACCTAAACAGAGGCCTCTACCTTTCAACTAAGAGGGAGTGATCTAGGATGAGTCAGGGCCCATTAAATAGAGCCAATTTGTAATCTTCACTATTATCAAATTTTACAAAAAAGAATTCATTATTTACGTCCAGTATCTTTAAAGACCTCATCTTTCCCCCAAATGCTAGTTAATTTTTTTATTGAGATAGTTAGAGTTCATTGATCGTCCTAATAGTTTAACTATTAAAGTAAGTTCCATAGAGAACACTATTGTTTGTAGTCTTCAAGGGGAACCCTAAGTTCTAAGCATATTACTGTGTTATCATTAGGATTTATTTCATATTCATCATTGTCAGAGAGGGGAATATTTAGATATCCCTTAACAAATTTAACATCATCATCACCAAGAAACATGTTAAAATCCCTAGATTCTAGCACCTTGTCCCTATACGAGATATGAGGAAGAGAGTTATGGGTAGAATTCACCTAATTTGCAAAGCCTTCAAAAAGCAAAACTTCTTGCATGTTCATTTGTAACTCCTCAATCTGAGACGACTTTAGCTTCGACTTTAGCTTGAGGGTAGAAAAAACCCTAGCAAAACTAACATGACGTCTTTTTTCTCTAAGACTATTTCTTGCAAACTCTAGTAAAGCACAATTATCAATAAATACACAATTTTACTTTCAAAAATAATTGTCACTGGATTTTTAATTTTAAAATAACTAGTATAATATTTTTTTAATAAGATGTATTAAAATAAATCATATCTAATTTTAATATAATATATATATTTTTAAGTTATTTAACATAAATAAGTTGTTGCACATTTAATTTGTCAAATAATTAATTTTATAAATTACTTTATAATTACAAGTTTTTATTTACAAGACTACAAATTCTAACTAAATTTACAACTTTTAATATTTTACCAAACTTAGCTATGATAAATTTATAAGAATTATTGAGTGTAAAACATTTTTAACTATAACATAAAATAATTAAAGTTAGCTATTTAGCTTTTTCTTAACATTATTAACTAATGTTTAAAAATTTAATTTTTTATTTAAAATCTTTTTAAATATATTAAAATTAATGATAATGATTAACTAATGACGTGTTGTAATAAAATTTTTAAAATTTTTTAATCATTACTCTAAAGACAAATTAGTTAATATTTTATTTACTTAACATATAATGTTCCAATTTAGTTTATTTTCATCTACCGCAGCCCTTTTCAACATTAATTATAAATATAGATAACAACTATGCAAAATATTAAAAATAAATAAATATGATAATAGGAAAAATACAACTATAATATAAAATTTCTATAACAAAAATTATACAAGAACTATTTTTTCTAGAAAATATGATTATGATTTAATGGGTACACCACAAGTCATTTCGGAACCATATATGAACACAAAACATAAACTTTACTCATAAAGTGAATAATAACACAATACACCCTTAATGCAAACTAATTAATTAATACTGTAATTTTTTTTTTTACTATTTTTTATCTTTTTCGTAAGATGACTTTTTTTTTTTCTCTCGTACTCTCTCTTGAAATAACTTTTATTTTTTTCTTGTGCTAAGACACTCACAGTTCTACGCAGATAACTTCTCCTAACACTTTTTTTTTTGGTTGCAAAATCAATGCAAACTCACTTGATGGTGATTCACTTGACAAAAATAAAATATGATAATAAAAAAACACAACTGTAATATAAAATTTTTATAACAAAAATTATACAAGAACTATCATTTTTAGAAAATATGATTCCGATTTTGTTTATTTTTGAAAAACTACATTAAATATATTTATTTATTATTCAAAATAATTTTAATTTAATATAAAAGTAATCAAACAATTGAAAAATAATTTTTCTACAATAAACCTAAGTACATACAAAAGGAGTTAAAATAATTTATTACAATTAGCATTTTTTTGTATTTTTTTTTTATAAAACCTAATTACCATTTGCTTTAATTTTTTTTATAATTTTTTCTATTTTTGCTTAAACAACTTTATTTTCATTTAAATACAAATAATAATGGATATTCAATTCCCACCAAATGGGGGAAGGATGCAGATAGTTTCGACTGATACATGGGATGAAAATGAAAACTAAAAAAATCTGGTCCTTCTCTAACTAGAAACACTAATTAACAAGATACGTAGTTTATTTCGACCGACGACACGTGTTCGTGAGACTCAAGGCAGCAAACGCGTCTTGTAAAATTAAAAAATAAGAAAAAAAAAGGTAAGGAAAGTTTCGGGTCGGGCACGGGCACACTTCATACTCATAGCTTCTCCCCCAAGTTGCTTGGAAAAGTCTACCCTTTGACGCCACACACACACAACATAGTAGCCGCCACCTTCTCCAACCCTTATGCTTCCGCAACAACACTGAACCATGCAGGTGCACACCCCTCTCCATCTCTTTTTCTTTACTACTATTTCCCTTCTCTTTCTCCAAACTAACTAATTAGTCTACGGACACTAAATTACGACACATTCAAGTGCCTTTGCCTTGTTATTTTATTTTATTATTTGTTTAATTTTCATTTATCTTATCTATTGTCGTTTGGAGATGTATCCTGTGTTTCGTGTTTTCTGTTTTTGCCAATTGCTGGAAAACATTACTGACTAGGCTTCTTGCTGATGGTTGTGGTCAATTTTGGGTGAAATGGAGTTGCCGAAACGCCGTCGTTTTTGTGTGAGAGTTTCATGATTGTAACCTAGCTTGGACTTTTTTGCAGAATATGTTACGAGCAAAGCAGATTGGTGCCCTTTCTAGCAGTGCTAGGAGTCTTTTCCTTAGTGGTTCGAGATGTAATGCAGCAGATGGTAATTCCTGCACTTGTGCTGAGGATGAAACGTGTGTGTCAAGAAGTCAGCAGAAGAAAAAGGACGATTTGCTCGCACAGAAGCCGTCGTCTTTAGTATCCAAAACTGCATCACAAGTAGAAGGATCCTTGGTTTTAGGAAGGGCTTCAAATGGGCCTGCTTCTCTCAAGGTTGAGAGTGTTGATCAATCTGGTCATGTACAACAAGTTAGGTCTAGTTCAGTTACCCCGAGTAGATCAGAAACTGTAACATATGGTTTTGTTGTTGATGGTGTTCAGAACCATGTTGCACACACTTCTATTAATGCTGACCAGTTTTATAGGGCCGGTATTGCCGCTGTCAATTTTCTTTCTGATATTGTTAGTTATAAGTTTCCTTTATCGGATGGGATGGGAATACTGAGCTACTCTAAAAATTGTATGGTTGATCCGACCAGAACCTTACCCAACATCAGATCTTCCAATGTGAAACAAATTAGAAAGGAGAATTTTACTAGTGTTCATCCCAAACCACCACCTGTTTCTACTCATCCAGGGCCATCCAATCGTACAAGTAGTCATCATGGTGCAAAGGGGAAAGGTGATAAATCCAATTTAGCTAAGGGCTTTAAGCAAGTGGCTTCTTCGGGGACAGAGAAGGCAGGGGCAGCTTCAAATGTTCCTTTGAATAATCATGACCGCAAGGTTGTGCCACAGAGAACAGGCACTCATTCAAACCGTTTTGTGACAAATTTTGGCTCTAACATGCAAACTTCAAATCCACAGATGTTAGGATCGTTCAAGGGAAGTTTCAATAAACAACACCCCAGGGATCCAAAAATGCCAGCAGGAATTGCTCCAACGAACAGGCATTTTGGAAACTCAGGGCGAGTTGTGGAAGTGGTTAGAGATATACTGCATCATTTAAAATGGGGTCCTGCTACGGAGAAGGCTCTTCATAACCTGAATCTTTCAATAGATGCATATCAAGCTAATCAGATCCTAAAGCAACTGCAAGACCATTCAGTTGCTCTAAGCTTCTTTTACTGGCTAAAGCGTCAACCAGGATTCTGGCATGATGGGCATACTTACACCACTATGGTTGGTATACTTGGTCGTGCAAGAGAGTTTGGTGCAATAAACAAATTGCTGGAGCAGATGGTCAAGGATGGATGCAAGCCTAATGTTGTAACTTACAATCGTCTGATTCACAGTTATGGCCGTGCAAACTACCTAAAGGAAGCGCTGAAAGTGTTCACTCAAATGCAAGAGATGGGATGTGAGCCTGATCGCGTTACTTACTGCACACTCATTGATATCCATGCAAAAGCTGGATTTCTTGATGTGGCCATGTCCATGTATGAGAAAATGCAAGAAGTTGGCCTATCTCCTGACACATTTACTTACAGTGTCATGATCAACTGCCTTGGAAAATCTGGTAATTTACCTGCTGCCCATAAGCTATTTTGTGAGATGGTTGAGCAGGGTTGTGTTCCAAATATTGTCACCTACAATATCCTGATAGCTTTGCAAGCCAAAGCAAGGAACTATCAGACAGCATTAAAACTATACCGTGATATGCAGAATGCAGGATTTAAACCTGACAAAGTTACATATAGCATTGTTATGGAGGTGCTTGGCCACTGTGGCTATCTTGAGGAAGCAGAAGCAGTTTTTGTTGAGATGAAACAGAACAACTGGGTTCCGGATGAACCTGTTTATGGTCTTCTGGTAGACTTATGGGGAAAGGCTGGTAATGTTGAGAAGGCTTGGGAATGGTATCATGCAATGCTGAGGGCAGGTTTGCTTCCAAATGTACCAACTTGCAATTCCCTTCTCAGTGCATTCCTCAGGGTTCATCGATTGCCAGATGCATACAATCTTCTTCGAAGCATGGTGGCTCTTGGCCTAAGCCCTTCTTTGCAGACTTATACTTTACTTCTCAGTTGTTGTACAGAGGCACAATCACCATATGATATGGGATTTTGTCGCGAACTTATGGCAGTAACTGGCCATCCAGCCCATGCATTTTTACAGTCCATGCCAGCAGCAGGACCTGATGGTCAAAATGTGCGGGATCATGTAAGCAAATTCTTGGACCTGATGCATTCGGAGGATAGAGAGGGTAAAAGAGGGCTTGTAGATGCAGTGGTGGATTTTCTTCACAAATCAGGGCTTAAGGAGGAGGCTGGTTCAGTTTGGGAGGTGGCCGCACAAAGAAATGTGTATCCAGATGCTGTGAAGGAGAAAAGTTCTTGTTATTGGCTTATAAATCTTCATGTGATGTCTGATGGAACTGCTGTAACAGCATTGTCAAGGACACTTGCTGGGTTTCGCAAACAAATGCTGACATCTGGTGTTGGCCCTAACAGGATAGATATTGTAACTGGATGGGGTCGCAGGAGTAGGGTGACAGGTTCTTCTCTCGTGAGACAGGCAGTGCATGAACTGCTTCATATGTTTAGTTTCCCATTTTTCACAGAAAATGGCAATTCCGGTTGTTTTGTTGGATGTGGGGAGCCTCTTAGTCAATGGTTGCTCCACTCTTACGTGGAACGAATGCATTTACTGTAGTTTCTTATTGTAGAATCGTTTCCCCTTCAGCTTAGACACAATTTTGCTGCGGGAAATGTGCTCCGAGTGGCACTTTTATTCTCAATGCTGACATTGTATGTAATATTAGCTTGTCAGCGCTAAGTTATCCAACTTGTTATCTTCAAAGCTTTTTATTATGGGAATCATAGACTGAATGCTTGATGATGGTACTCTTCTCTCCATTTGTGTTTTTCATTCTGTTTTTTTTGCTTTTTGCAGAGTATAGGATTTTAACTTTTAACGGTTAAAATCCGTGTTTTACCTTGATCCACTCGCAGCATTTTCAAATTATTAGGAACCTTAACATGTATTTATTTTTTCAGTTGTTCCTTCCAATTTTATTTGATCTGTAATGCGCAACGTGCCAGTATTGGTGACTTTCCTCAGATTTTGGCGGCAAAAGCATGTGTTGATACATAGTTTGATGCCTTCAAATCAAGCATCAAATGATATTTATACCATTTAATAAATTTTTATAAAATATAAAATAAATTAATTCATGTTGAATATTTCTATATTATTTTCAATTATGAATATCAAATTTTATAAAATTTAAATATTCATAATATGTTATTTAAAAATTAATATTTATTCATATTTTAAAAATATATTACATGTTGAAATAAAATAATGATATTGATATTTATTTTTTATATAAAACTTTATAAAGTTGGTCTATTTAATAACGTTTAAACTAATATTTAGATTAATTAATTTCATATTATACAGAAAAGTTATTAAGTGATATAAATATTTAGATTTGATACTTGGTGTGTATATAAAACAATTTTTTTCTTTCTTACAAAAAAACAAATTTTAATCTAGATAACATTTTTTAAAAATAATAAAAAAATACTCATATTCTGTTAGTCAATACACTCATTTTTAAATTATTTTCAAATTAAGAAATTATTAAAATAAAAATTTATTTTACAAATTTAAATAACTATTAGTCAATATACTTCATTTAGATTATTTTGAAGTAAAAATTAAATATTATTTAATATCTTTATTATGAATATATCATACTAATTTAAATGTTTAACTGGTACAATATGGATTTTTCTATTATTATTTTCTTAAAATTCTATATATATATATATATATATTGATATGCCTATCTTTTGATTCTTTTAAATAAAAAAATATAAATTTTATATAACATTTTATCATATAATTAGTCACTTAAATAAAAAAATTATTTTAATCTTTTTTAAAATGTACTCTATCAATTTAAGAACTTAACTAGTGTAGTAGTGGATTAATCTTGCTCAGTATTACTACTGTTGACGTATTTTATTAAAAATAATACAAATAAGATAAAAATTAAATAAAAGATGTTTTACTTTTTTTTTATATTTTTATTCATTTAAAAAGTTGGGTATATTAGATAATGTTATTTACTTATTTTTTTATTTAATAAAAAAGTTTATTATATTAGAATATATTTTTAAACTTAAATCATATTTAAACATGTTCAATTTTATTTCAATAATAATATTTAATTTATATTGCAATTCATATATTGATATTTCGTTAGTCAATATGCTTTTTTTTAATATTATTTTGGAATCAAAGAACAATTAAAATAAAAAAAATTATTTTACAAATTTATATCACTATTAGTCAATATACTAAATTTAGATTTTTTTAAAATAAAATTTAATATTTTTTTACAATTAATTCATTTAAATTAAAATGTTTTAAACATTCTTTTAAATATACTCTACAAGTTTAAATATTTAACTGCTACAGTAGAACATATTCTTCTGATATTGTTGATATTAACAAGTTTATTAAAATAATATAAATAAAAAATAGATAAAATTAGTTTTTTATCTTCTAACTTAAGGGTTAAATTTAATTTATTTCTTTAATTTAATTTTATTTATTTTAATTTTATAATTTTAAAATATATTTTAAATAAGTTTTTTTAATAATATTAACTTTGTTAATATCTTTTTATCTTTTTCCTGTCTCGTGTATTATTTTCCATTGTTCATTATTTTTATTTCTTACTTGATATTGCATGTTATAACCAAAATTTTTTTTTAAGAAGATATCTTTGATGTAATTGATTGAATCCTTTCACTTTTCGTTTTCTCTTTTATAAAAAAAAATAAAAATACAAAATCTCACACTTCTCTATCTCCTTTACTTATCACTAAAATCTAAACTTTAAACAACAAAATCTTACATAATTCTTAACTTTTTCCTAAACTTAAATGGAATCAATTAAAATTTTTTCCATCTTATATGGAATTAAGTAATAAAGCGAAATAAGAGATTTGAGGAAAAATAATAATGAACAATGCAAATCTAAAGAAGAAAATGAAAAACAATGCAAAACAAAACATGTGAAAAAAAAAAAGACAACATATTAATTGAGTAACGTTGTTAATAAAATAACATATTGAAATTTTTTTAAAAATTTAAAAAATAAAATAAATTAAAATAAAGTTAAACGATGAAAACACTAATTTTGTCAAATAATAAATAAAAATATCTTTTTTTTAAAATTTTTATGTATAATTTATATTTGTATATAACAAATCTTAATCAAGATTATGTTTTTCTAAATAATAAAATAAAATATTTTCAAATACATATTTTATTAATCAATATACTCATGTTTCAATTACTTCTAAGTTAGGCAATTATTAAAATAAAAATTTATTTTATAAATATATATCATTATTAGTCGATATATTCCTTTTAGATTATTTTTAAACAAAATAAATATTATCTGATATTTTAATTACAATTTACTTATTTAATTAAAAAATATTTTAAAATGTATTTAAATATACTTTATTAATTTAAATACTTAATTGGTTTAATAACAAAACGTGAACTATTAATTGCAATTTAGATTCTATCTTAATTAAAATTATATATCAATGAGAGTGAATTATAGGGTACACAAGAAAGTTTGACCGGTTTTTGGAAGTTGTGGTATTTTTTTTTTATGGTTCTTATTATTTTGTAAGAAGATATAATATTAATGCAATATTGAATTTAAATCCTTTGTTATTTGATTTTAGTGTCTTTAGATTAACTTAAGAAATAGATTATTTTAATAATAAATTTTTGAAATAATTGATTTTAAAATAATTTCGTATTTGAATTATATAAAATAATTAATTTTTAATTTAAATTATATAACAATAAGAAATTATGTGTAATGATTAGTTTTTTTTATCTAAAATAATTAATTATTAAAAATAAAATAGAAAATAAAAATTAACTAAAAAATATCTGTGCGTTTGGAAAAGATTAATTTCCTTGATAATTTGAAAATGTTGTAAAAAAAAAAACTCTTCATTTTTGTTTGCCTGTGATTAAAAATCAGCTTATAATTTTTTATAAAGGAAATAGCTTTTTTAGTATAAGTAAAATTGTGAAACTTATCATTAAAAACAATCATAATAATTTTTTTAGTTAACTTTTTTGTTTTATCATTAATAGTTAATTATTTTGAATATAAATCTAAATATTACACTTAATTTCATATTTTTTTATTTGAACCTAAAAAAAAGTATTTTTTAGAATTCAAGTACAATACATTATTTTAAGACCACTTTTCGTCTAACATATCTTAACATATAACTTATTTCATACAATCAAAATTTTCAAATAATCTAAATACACACTAAAATGCTAATTTTTAATCATAAACTTTAAAATTTGTATTAATCTTAAACAAGTTATTTCTTTTATAAAAAAAACTAATTAAAAATATAAACTAATTTTATAAAAAATTTCAAAAAAATGAAATATTTTTTATAAATATTTATTCACATAATTAACAAAAAATTAATCTTATCCAAACATATTGTCAAAAGCAGAAATTTTGGTGATATTTTGACACCTACGTTGTTGTTTAGGATAGTCTATTACATCAATATGTGCTACAAATTAAGATGAGTGTATTTTGTATCTTTTGATTTTTCTACCTTAGGTGTATATTACGAGAGAGAAACATTAACTTAAGAATAAGAAATAGTAAAATTTACATGATATTTGTCATTTTTATTAAATTTTAGTTAATAGAAAAAGAAGTATGTTGTAAATAATATATTAAAAAATGTGCTACTAGCATTGCTCTAACTGTTATAGATGTAGAAATAGCTACAAAAGTGAATTTGCTTAAACTCTTACCCATACAAATCTTTTTGTATTTTGAAGTACATAAAAGTGTTCAATTCTTATTTGTTTTAAAGATAACTAAATAAATAAGAAATAAAAGAAAAAAATTATGTACTATTTTTTATTGTTATTTATTAGTTAAAATTAAATTTTTATTTTTTAAAAATATTTATATTTACATTTAATGTTATTATAGATTAATGAGAAAAAAATAATTTCAATTAATAATCAATACTAATTATATGTAAGTTTTGTTCAAAATAAAAATACTACTAAAATATAATCTGATTTTAACTAATAACATAACACTAATTACACTTAACTTTTATCAAATACAAGTACTTAACTTTTTTGTCTAAAATAAAAATCCTATCGAAGTGTGACAATGATGTTGTTAAGCATAGGTCATAAGGTATGGTATGACTATGATAAAACATGTACATTATATTGAGAGAAGTGAAAAAGTAGTCAAATAATGTTTTTCACATGTACAAACATAATCCTTGAAAGTAATATTAAAGATTATAGCACTTGCTCATAAACGTGCTTATAAGATTAAGACTCTTAACAACTATCTTAACCTAGAAAAATAATACATTAATATTCTTTCTTCTTAAAAACATGAAATGTGTTCTAAAGAAAATTAATTGAAGTTCATATTATAATTTTAAAATATGATATCTTTATTAGATATTATCGAAGGAATTGTTATGCAATAAACATAACCACTATCCCAAAATTAATATTTTGATAGACCTATAGTGTGATAAGAAGTCAGACACACTCCCTAAGATCAGTATAACATTGTGATGCACTCAAGGCCAAGTATGTTAGAACTTCATTGTATAATGCCTACAATTGAAAGGGGACAATAAAAGAGGAAGTAAGTATTTTTTGGTTCTAGATTAAAGTAAAATCAAAAGGAACATTATATCTTATTGTCATTTATAAAGTAAATACAATTTCAGAGTCATCATTACTTTTTATAATAAATTTACAATGGTAAAGTTGTTGCCACTCCTTAAATACATAATTAAGTCTAGGCTTAATTATGTTTTTGGTCCCTATAAATATAGGTCTTTTTGTGATTAGTTCTTACAAATATTTTTGTTAGGAAGTGGTCCTTCTAAAGTTGGTAATTTAGGAATTGGTCCCTTCCGTTAACCATTCTTCTATTAAGTGCTACGCTAGCTAACAGAAAGTCAGCTCAACACTCTACCTGACGCCACATTAT